TGGCTGCACTCTCTCCCCTTCTTCATGGCTGTACTAAACCATCCATGTCTGTTGTCCATTTGTCCTGTCTGTTTGCATTACATTAGAGAATGACAGAGACCCCCACCCATTACATTATTACAGACGGAGAGAACAGGATCCAAGATAAAGCATCTGCTGCGGTGATGTCAGACGGCAGTTATGAAGCAGATTATGAGGCTTATATTCTGAACTCTCTCTGCCTCCAGTATGCTCTCTTAACCTCTACCGTCAAATCCTCAAGTGTTTTGTTTTCACTGTTACATTTGCTTTTAGTCATTTTTTCCAACCTATCTTTTGAAATATCCCTATATTGCTCTGTCTTCCCAAATATGGTGATTATTTATTAATGGTAACATGGAGTTCAGCTGCAGTTGTGCCTTTTAGAGATGATGTTTTCAGATGTTATTTCACAGTAGACAGCTATTCCCTTGAAGAAATAATGGTGGCAAAGATGGGACTGATTATATACTGTATTAGCTGTCTTTAGAGCTCTTTTTTGAAGCTTTTCCATTTTTAAACGTTAGCTTACTTTTCCTTTGATTTAAGCTACCCACCTTACCTTTCCTTGCTCCCTTTTTGCATCTTTCTTCTCTGTCCTCTTTGTTCTTTTAGATGCAGGCAACACAACATAATATTCCCTTTTATCTCCAGACACGTTCAAACAAAACTGCACTTTTACAAAAAAATTAAATCATCAATTATTAATTTAAGACTTCCTCTCTTCCATTAGATTCACGCTGTGCTGCGATGCTTGTAGTTAATTCATTTGATTGTTTATCCCCACTTGGCTGGGAATATTTGAAAGTAAACTGGCAGGTCAACCTGTTGTTCCTAACCTGATCCCCTCGCATGCTAATGATAGCCCTGGCTTTAACAGGCAGGGAAACGGAGTATTGGGGGACTGTGGGCTGGATTTTGCAATGGATTTTGTGCAATATGAAGTTCAGTGACTCCTATGACTCATTTTGGCCCATTGATTTACAATTGAGACTTTACTTTGGTAATCTTTTAATCTTTATTTTTTGTTTGTTCTTGCAAGGTCACATTTTTATAAGCCAATATTTGCTCATCCTTTGGATCGCTTAGTAGAAGTAAAAGCAAAAAATGTTAATGATTGAAAAACACATTAGATTAGATAGATAGACAGAATAACACTACTGTGACATGTATGTTAGCATCTAACCAGGTGCAAAAAGTGGTTCAGGGTATATTTGTGTTTGCAAAAATGTTTTGCCATTTAATTTGAACTTCTGTATTGAATATTAAAGGTGGGGTAGGTCATTTTGAAGAAACCAGCTCGAGTGCGCTAGAATTTGAAAATACACAGCCGGAAAAGATCTGCCACTTCCTTACAGAGCCCCTCCTCCAACACACACGAATGCGCACATGACCAATGAGGGCACGAGATAAGTTTGTGCACAGATGGAAGGCTGACAGGCAGGTAGGCCATCCAGTTATTTTAGCCAGGCCGGCTAAAATGATTGGTCGTGCTTTTTACAGTACTACGGCTTCCACAGATAACATTTTATTATGGATTTTTTGTCAAAGCACTTAAGATATTCATTGCTATCGGGATGTTAAGAGCATTCCATGGAATATAACAAAAAGTGTATCTCGAGCCGGGTTCTCAAACTTACCTACCCCATTAATTTAATATACATGTATTTTTTTATTTTAAATAATGTTATTTGTTGCACATTCTTATTTTAACTTCGTATGTTTGAATAAACATTTTTTTTCAATTTTTTATATTTTATTTATCCTTAATCTTTTTTCACAAACTGTTACGAAACCCAATCACCATCAGGATGAATAAAGTATCTGGTTCTGATTCTAATATTTACAAAAGTTTGGGGATAAATATTGAAATATAAACAGTATATGCAGTGAGGCATTGTAAACAACTCTACCGGGCACTAAGAAAAGTTTAAACTTTACTAACTTTTGGCCCATGCCAGGAATTTGTAATCCTGACTGCAGTTTTCCAACATTAAATCTTTTGTCTCATCTTTCACTGTGTGTATCCCGAATCAGGATGTAGGGCCATGATTTAAAAATTCTACAAGGATCTGCTGCTCACTGAAGTGAACACCTAACCCTTGCTGCTCTGTTATGATTGAATATTACTTAAAAATGAATGATAAGTATGGAGTTTGGAATTCCGCGGCTACGGATTTGGCGGTGATCTGCTGTTAGGAGGTGTTGAAAAGACGCACGCTGAGTGTGTAATTATCTTAGAGAGTCTTTTCTAGCTGTTCACATCTCATCTAATGTAATCCTCCTCACTGTATATTGAGCACTCTCTTCCTATTCACTTGGTATCTCAAGCCCCCATTCTGGAACTGCGTAAAGGCCAGTGGGATTTGTTTTTGCTGATTTGCTCTGGTTTTGTTTCAGGTTTTTTCTGTGGCTTTTTCTGTTTAGTGTCGATATCATATGTGTGTTTTTAGCTGGTAAAAAATTGCATGGTGTCATCTAGAGAGTTGGAGAACTGCTGAATTGGAAAAGTACAGCTGGTGTCACGGTCTGGGAAAGCGAGAGAGAAATGGGTAGTGTGAGTGTGTGGAGAGGCAAGGAGAATAAAGTGAAGAGAAAAAAAGAAGCAAATAGCAAGCAAACAAGGGGAGAGGCAGATAGAGGAGGAACAAACAGGAACATGAAGAGGCGGAGCGGGAGCGTCCAAAAACTGATGTTTCACATGATAGCACGTTCTGCAACGTTGCTGCCAACAGCATCAGCAAATCTCTCCCACCAGCACTGTTTCTTCTTATTTTCCCCCACTTCTTCTCTCCTCCAGCCAAGTAACCAAGCAAGCAAGTTTTCTGGAAATAAATAGCCTTTCAGCCCCTCTCATGTCTCCAGAGAAATGAGAGGGGCTGCCCTGATTCTACATAAAAAAAAACTGCGACAAATAAAAAACTAAGTTACAGTGCTGTAACAGAAGATCAGATTGATCCGTGGTGGTAGAAGACATGATATCTGTGAGCTATTTCTTGGCCAGAACAGGATTACTAAGCAACTGATTGCTGTGATTATTACACCATAAGACTACAACATGTGTGTCTATATGAAGGAGAAACATTCATCGCCTTCAGAAAACCATTAAGCTGTCGTTTTTGGTATACTCTTGCTGTAGTAATTTGAAGAGGTGGAGTTGTCTTTTGGTCAGCCGATGATCACTTTTAAGACCAGAGGGAGGCGTAAATATCATAATTCTAAATAAAGTATATCATCATCATATTGACAGCCAGCATATCATTTTCTCTTTTCATTGCAAAGAATTGAAAGATGAATGTTTTCCCCAGAAAAAGACAGAATCATAACAAACACAATTGTTTAACAGTACTAGTCTTTCAAGAAGGAATCCTTTTTTTAAATATTTCAGATATAAAGCTGCTCCCACATGATGTGGTAGAACAGCTCTGTGCTGGAGTTGTGATTATATGATGAGAGCGGTGGCGTCCCATTAATTGGAGGCGGTACCCTCGGTGTTGCGCACAGCTCAAAATTGTCGCTGATTGCTGCGCTGAAAGTCTGACATTTCGACACTCAACCAATCAGATAACAGCTGTATAGTGGTGCAAGTCAACATAGGGGGTCACCATAGAAACTAAACATACCTGGCATTTTCATCGCAAGGCTCTGCGCCCAATCTCGTGGAGATTAGCACATTTCGAATGATTGAATGCAGCTTAATAACTGACTCACTGTTTCTCTGAGAGTAGAGTTGAACTGTTATTGACATGAGGGGGTTGCACAAGGATTCTGCTAAAATCTCCAGAATATGTTGCCCCACTGATCAACTCCTTCTTAAAACCCCCTCCAATATAATACTGTCACTTTGAGGTAATTCTGTATAGAGCATTACACTTTCTCTCCCAGTGCATTTTAAGTCACTAACCTATTGTAAAGGTTGATGTAATTACACCTGACATTTCAATTTGGTATTAAATAGTCCAATTTCAGTTGTACCCATTCTGCAGTGTTGGGAGTTTTTCGCCCCTTTTTATTTGCGACACCAGACCGCTTCATCAAGAGCGTGACGTGGCTGCGGTAACAGCCGTTTTACAGCAGAGCCGATTTGGCTGATGTGCGTGGCGTGCTAAGTTACCGTGAAGTGTGTGTGTGTGTAGTAGACGGAGTGAGAAGCGTGTAATAGGCTCACCTGTCTCTGCCTGCACACTGATGGGCAGGTGGGGAGAATGGAAACCAGATGGGAAGAAGGAGCGATGGAGGAGGGAGGGGAGAAACTAATGCACAGAGTAGATAAGGCTGCACTACACTGCCTTTGGCGAACACATGTTGAGATTTAACCTGCGTGATTAAATAGACACCATTATGGAAGGAAAAAATAGGTAGGATGGAGATAGTGGAATGATAGAAATAATTGAAGACATATCGCAGGGAAGATTGATAGCCTGGAAAAGCAAGAGTGAGGAGAACTTCACGAGCAAATCTCTTTACAGTATTTCCATTATACTGTACATGCATGCTTGCAATACAATCTGAGTCCATTTTACAAACCCTTGAGGGGATTTCAAGAGTAATGGTGAATTTGTCAAAGCTAAATCCGCCTTTTTTTCTTTTCCCACTTCAAAATGTCATATTTAAATATAAAATTGTTTTCCTGCACATCTTTTGTTGATGTAGTAACTCTTCATAGGTCTTTTATTAGAATATACATCTAGAGGGGTTTCTAGGATTAGAGTAGCTTTCTAAATGGGGGCTAATCAGCGTCGCAACCTCTCGAGGGGTTTCTAAGATTCTCAATATCAGTGTAGATTAGCTTCCTTTATGGGGTCATAACCAGCCTGGCAGATGTCTAAAAAGCAAAATAAAAGTAACTTTTGCAAAATGAAATCCCCCCTTTTCTCACGACCAACTGTTGAATGATTTCTCCGATTGAAATGCAAATAATAATGATAATTTCTGCCCATTATCTGTGGACACGGTGGCTTACTCTTGTTTTTCTTTGACAGGGTGAAGAGGAGCATCGTGCTGACGCTTAGTCCTGTCCAAGGTAAGTTGACGAGACAATGTAAGATCCAATTGCATTTACACTTTATGTGCTGTTTTGTTATTTTGTGCTGAGTAAGGTTCACAAGGCAGGGTTTGTGTGAAACTCATTTATTTTCCAGTATTAATAGACATAACGGTTGCTCTGGTCCTTTTGTTTCTTCCTGCTCAACCGCATAAGCAGTATATCTGCCTTGCCTTGTAAATGTCTTCTACCATCACATGAAACACTTTGAAGATGATGTTTTCAGAACTCGGCACTCTGTACAAGATCAAATCAACAATGGGAGCCACATGTGCGAGGCGCCTCGGAATTACTGTGAACCTGTTTGGCATATGTGAGGAGGATCCCAATGAACTGCTTTTCGGCAATGATTTCAAGAAATCTGTTGGAAAATCTCTGGATATTTTATGATTCGAAAAGCGATTCCAGCAGCTGCTGTAAACCTCTGGCCCGCCAGTAAGGTGGTCTCTGCTTCTCTGTCAGTAATATGTCTTCGGCTGTATCTGGTTGCCGTGGTGACATGCGTGTGTCAGCAGTAGGATGTGTGATGTGTGTGGTGGCGGGCGTTGAAAGGACTCCGTGGAGGCGGATAGAATTCCTCTGTCCAGAAATGCCAAGCGACACGGCGGTCAGATAGGGAAACTTCAGAAATGTTAGCGTGCGGGACACACACACACACACACACACACACACACACACACACACACACACACACACACACACATACAGGAAATACGCAGGCTGAGTGGACACACACGTAGACAGATATACAGATTCCACAAAGGCCACGGCCATGCATTCATGCTGACAGCTCAGGACTATTAGGTTACATACAGGGAAGTCCATGCCTGCCGCTATGCTTTGAACACTCATAGCATGTAAACACACTTTTATTAACTCCTGAATCTACGGTTTAATGCCTCTTTAAAAAAGAAAAGAAAAAAAAGTGCAGCCGGTCCTGACAGATTTATTTTTACCCCTGAATGACGGATGATATTTGCATACCAGAATCAGCAAATGCTAAAATGTTGCTTACTCAGCAGCTGCACCGGAGAAATCATGGGGTTAAGGGCCTTGCTTCAGGGCAGCTTCCCTCCAGTCGATGAGGGAGGGGAGGCTATTACTCATTTGCTTTCCACACAGCCAGACTCCCCCCCCCCCCCCATGCCAGCTTTGGGGATTTGAACCGAGGACACCATCCTGCAGAAGCCTCAGGGCTACCGCTGACAACCAGGTGTAATGCACTATAATTACTCCGCAATTGTGTTTTCCCCAGAACTGTAATCGAGTCTAAGTTCAAGAACTGTAACTGTCCTCCGTCGGGACGTTGCGCTCGCAGCAAGGCATATGTCTTGTACCATAATCATGGTACACAAAGAAGTGAGAAACACACAACACATTACATGAATTGTAAAGAAGGAAGTCCCAGGAGGCTTGGTCTTTTCGTTTTTACGCTACATTCACACTTCAAGCGACAATAGCAAGAAGCGTGGCCGATTGCCGCCTTTGAACTGTTACTTAGTCGCCCATTGGCATCGTAATTTCCTTAAATACCAATGGGAACTGGCTAATGTCTAAAAGTTTTTTTTTCAAAAAAAATGTGAACAGAACAGGAAAGAGTCAATTGGATGGTGGGATAGAAACGTGTGATTGGTTGGTGCTTCACCAAGTCATTGGACCACGCAAAAAGTTGCACAAGCTCAACTTTGATTTTAAAGCTGTCGTACATCTGTTTTTTCACCTTTTACAAATTATAAATGTTATCGCTTTTTAGGACTTCAAATAGTTTAGTTTGCTTTGAGCAGGGTTGTACTTAAATGTAGGACATCAAGGAAGGTTCGGTGACCTGGTGATTACGTTGACCTTCAGGTATTCTACTGTAGTTCATCCGTGTTTGGCACTACCAACTAGAGTCATATAGTTTTTATTTATGGCATTAAGTTGTCAAGAGGAACAATGTAAGCAGTTGAGAAGAACAGGCTCACAGCTGCGAGCAATGAAAATCAGACTTCACATCTGACTCCATATTTTATTTTTCATAATTTCCCTGGAACTGTTGGCATCAGTGTGGAAACACAACGATGTTGAGCCTTCAAAAGGTCGCTATAAAATCAGTCAGATCCAAAGGTATGCAAAGTAATATGTTAATTTATTCAAATAATAGGAAATGGTCTGGTAAAAATATTAGCACAATGTAGGCCATAACCTTTTTTTTTAAAGTTGAAATGTTAAGTTCTCCCCCCCCTCCCCCATCACCTCCCACGGATGTATTCTGAAAAAAAACGGCACTCTGAGCATTTCACCTGTTTTGATCAGGAAGTGTTGCTTAGCTTTTAACTCTGTGCCTTTTTCCCTTTTTAGTTTCATATATATTGTTATATTAGTGATATAAATATATATACATACAATATTTCCATTTAATGACCAGTTTGGCTCAGCTTTTCTTTTTTCATTGTATAAACAAGTCGAAACTGATATCATTAATTGGTCAAATCTCTTAATAACCGTTCAATTAAAAGCCCCAGATTGAATTTTATTTTTTTACTTTGTCACAACGCTAAGTGGTTTTCTAGCTCTGAACTCAACAACAACTTAACAAAGCCTGCCACTCATTTCTATTGATTGGGCTTTTATTGCCCTCAAAAATAATAATATCCCTAGATGGAAAACCAGAGAGACATTTCTATAGGGCCTACTCTACCACTTATTGGACGGTAGAGGCCATGGTGAATAGTTGAAACGACTCTAAATACACATATTTAGCCCCAGTACACGGTGCACTTGTAAGATGCTCTGTAAGGATGACATACATATAATCTCTCTCTGCTTTCTGCAATTGGTCCCATTGGCATGCTGGTTTGCATATTGCTCAGTAGACATCACCATGTCATCAACACTTGGTAAAGTGTGTGTGTGTGTGTGTGTGTGTGTGTGTGTGTGTGTGTGTGTGTGTGTGTGTGTGTGTGTGTGTGTGTGTGTGTGTGTGTGTGTGTGTGTGTGTGTGTGTGTGTGTGTGTGTGTGTGTGGTGTGTGTGTGTGTGTGTGTGTGTGTGTGTGTGTGTGTGTGTGTGTGTGTGTGTGTGTGTGTGTGTGTGTGTGTGTGTGTGTGTGTGTGTGTGTGTGTGTGTGTGTGTGTGTGTGTGTGTGTGTGTGTGTGTGTGTGTGTGTGTGTGTGTGTGTGTGTGTGTGTGTGTGTGTAGAAGTAATCTGAGACTGTGTCGTTTGATCCGTTGGTGTCGCCAGAATCACCTTTACACCCACACACGTACACAGCGCACTCAAGTCAGTCTCCCTTTCTCTCTTATGCTCTCAGTCAGCCACAGTACACACACACACACTTGGTTATACTAGATCATATCGGCATTGATTTATCCACAATGTCGCCTCTACCAGTGCCTGATTTATTTTTGCAAGAGCAGTTTGGCGCAAATTGACTTTGAAATTGACTTTCGGTTTTTACAAATATGACAAGTTGTTTTTGTCCTCTTCTCTGTGTGTGTTTGTGTCAGTCAGTTTAGCCTCCGGTTTCTCTCCTCTCTCCCATCTAGTGTGTGTGTGTTGTCCTCAGTGTTTGTGTCACCTAAGAGGTCATATTGAATCCATTAGGGCAGAATAGGCTGAGAGCTTCTTCCACATCCACTCATTACTTCAACAATCAGTTATGGTTCCTTTTTGCAATATCTAATATCCTTTCAATTTCCCCCCTCAGCAGTTTAATACACTAAATTAGTTATCATCGTACACAGGAAGACTTTCCTTAGATGTTAAAAATAACCCACTTTGAAAATTCTTCTTTTTCTCAGGACAATTGAGATTTTTATGCAAAATACTTAATGTTTCAGTTTCATCGTCTTCTATGAATTTGCAACTAAACAGTTTTTCAGCTATAAAGTGAAAAAATAAAAGCAATTTCATTGCTTTTTATTACTTTTGAAGCCATTACAGCGTTTTATTTCTAATATACAATATTATGCATTGTTCAAGTGGCATTGCTGACATAGTAGTGATAAGTAACTGGATGATACAAGACTGTGCAGACGAAGGCGTCATTTTACCCCATCTCTTTTTACATTTTAGTTGACAGTCCACATGTAGCTATGCACGTTGACAAGGCACTATCAGGATCAGGTCTTGTTGCCGTCTCTGTGACCTAGAAAACGCTGACAAGGGACAAGACATGGAATTGTATTAACCCAGCTGTGTCCCGATCATGCTGACAAGACATTATTGTCTAGCCCTGTTGCGGCTGTTCGACAGCTCTGTAGACATGTGCAGGCTAACGCTACTGAAAGCAATGTAAGATACAATTGCTGACATGTACTGTGCTCTTAAGCACTGTTGACCGGGGAATAGCAAGAGAAGGAATATAATTAAGGCCGGGCGATATCGACAACACGTGTTGACAAGGCCTGCCTGGCCTCGTGTTTCTGACAAGGCGCTGGATGCTTGGTGACAAGCTGCTTTGCTATTCCACACCCCTTGTTAGCATGGCTAGGGTCACATTGACATCTGCAGTCTGGGGGAAACTTGAGCCTATCTCTCCAGCAAACATTGTGAGGGTGTGCACGTGTGCCCATTGATAGGGATTAGCAAGCCAGGCACCCTGGGATGGCCCCGGTTACTACTGGAGGTCAATGCATGTGCACTCTAATGTCCATGAGTGTTTGTGTGTGTGTTTGTGTGTGTATGTGTATTTGGCAGTCGGTGGGGGGTTAGGACTGGATTGCAATGACAATGGAGAGGAATTTAAATGAGTGCAAAAAAGGGGGATCAGGAACGTTTGCAAGGAGGACGGAAGAGGCTTTGGCACCATTGTCATTCTTCCTCTTTGTCATTCTTTATCTCTATCTCTCTATTACAAATTCTCCACTCTCCATCTCTCACTCTCGACTGCGACATTTGTCACTCCGTCTCACTTGATTTTATCCCAACTTATCCGATCTCTATTTTCTCCCTGTGTGTCCTTCCACCTTCATTGTTTTTTCTCCTACTCTGACTTT